CGAGGTTTATGTGAAATGGTTGGGACTTGACAAATCACACAATTCATGGATTCATAAAGACAATGTATTATAAAATTATAAATTATAAATTATACATTATAAAATTAAACATTATATAAATTATATATTATACATAAAAGTATATTAAATATCCTATACATTAAAGTGTATTAAATATCCTTTACAAATTATATTACAAATTATATTATATATTAAGTATATTATACATTTTATACAAGTTATATGTATGTATGTATATGATATGTGTTTTATTTACATCCGTAATGTCCCCATGGCAGCGTGTCGGTGGAATCTGATACGATATACCGCTTATCATCGTGTGGACTTAGAGCGATTTTTGTTTCCGATATTGTATACACCTCATGTAATTTCGATCTGATGCACGATTGTCTGCGCGTCATTTCAATAACATCATTCAAGCATTTCGTGTAATCATCAAACGTTATGGATCTTGCCACAACATTGCTTTTGACACCCTTTGCCTTTTTCGTATCCTTCTTTCCTTGTACACGTAAAGCGTACATTTTCGCTCTAAGCCCGACGAATTCAGTCATGATGGCACCGTTGTTCTCGTCTTTCATAAGACCAGGAACTTTTTTATTCGCGAGCGGAATACTGTACGGGTTGTCAATAGAGTAATCGCTAGTGTCAAATCTATTTATGTCGCGTTTTATAATTTCATATACATCATCACATTCCACATGATATATGAGACTATCAGTATCGGTATACATAATTTTACATTTTTCGCGAAACAACGGTGTCATATATTCGTGGTGAAATTCATACAAACACGTTTTAGATATATCGAGGATGCACATACCCACGTATATCGGTTTGTCGAACTTCACCTCGAGTTTACGCAGCTCTATCGCGACCAGATTCTCTGAGAAGACGCTACGACTGTGAAAGTTGGGTTTCGCGATCATTGCTTCAGCACCGTATCTGCCTTCCCATTTGGTTAATAATTTTACATCAACGCGATCGCGCACATTCTCCATGGTTTTACCAAATACCGCGTTATTCATAAGTTTGTATAAATTTTTCTCAAAATCGTTTTTTGCCAAAGTTCTAAATTTTGTATTTAATTCTATGTAATCGCGAAGCCATGGAGATTGCGTGAATTGCAGTATACGATGAATCTTTGCGATACGGAGGCCGTGACGAGTACACTGCTGCAGATTGCGATAATGAATCACGTAACGCATAACGTCGCGAGGAACTTGACATCGCGCTTGCCGGGTGGTTTCTCTCGCGTTGGACAGAACGGTAGGTCAGTGTGCGCGTCGTGGAGATGTTGCGGGTACTCAATATCAACCTCGAGAATATAGCCTGTAGGTGAATCTAGCGGGATGGTCGAAAAGTCGAAATTTTGCACGTCGTCGACCCATCGAAAATCAGCGTATGGCAATGGTTGACACATTGCCCAGCCGTAAAGATTGTTGACGTCATAGTACATTAGGTACGATAATGGTTTCGATGGGTCATATGACGGCATGTATTTGTTGTTGGCTCGCGCATACCTATTTGAGCACTGGCTCAGACCACCGCGTATACCGCGCTCGACAAATATGACCATGTCAATGTCTGTAAGCAATTCAAATTTTACACCTGTATGTTTCAACATGGCATCCCATGTGACGCCAGGCAACGTGTAATAGTATGCGGGGTCAAGCCCGTAACTCGCGACGCAACTGTCGCGGAAATTTTCAAAGACGTCGGCCAACAACAATACATCCGTTTTTAGATACAATTCGCTATATTCACCAAGCGTTTGGATGGAGAACCGCTGCCACACGTTGACAGCGTGCGCGTAATCGCTCTCGGATACCGTGCCGTCTGTCAATGAACTATAGAATGACTCGCGAGACGGCAAGGATGATTCATTTAATTTTTCACTGCAATCAATATACTCGTACGGAAAGATACCTTTTCGAGTTAAAAGATTAAAATTTTCTTCCGATAAATGGGAAAATTCGGGTCGCAGTACCCGCAGCTTATCTTTACTGAGAAAAGATGATAATTTGTCTAAACTAGAATCGAGAAATCTATATGAATCTATGAAACGTAATTGTATACAATTTTTTTTATCATCTATAGTATCATCAACGTGTTTAGTAAAAGAGATATATTTTTCTTTAGTTATCGGTAAGAGATCAACGTGTCCTTCATAGGCAGTAGCAATTTCCTTTATAATGAAATGAGCGTCGTAACCGGTTAAATTATGAAAGACTACGGGTATGCATCGCGAATCTTTATAATTTAAATTACAATTTGAGTGCGCGGGACCTCTGTATCGCCCGGTGAGATGGCAGTGATCGCGTGCTCGCGTATCGTCTTTCGCGAACGGTTTCTCGCATACATGACAGTGCGTGGCGTTGTTGAATTTTCGCCAGTCATCTTGCGTGAAATCCATGGGAACATTGGTCGAAATTACAGATTGCACACTATGTGCTAAATTTTTCAATTCATCCGCGAACCACGATACACAGTCTTTATCGCGGTGAAATCGATAGCTCGACAGCGAGTTGTCATAAGAGCAGTGTACGTAATACCCGATACTGAAGACGTTGTGATGTTGGTACGTGTACGTGGATGATGCTGGATCCTTATCCATCTTCTCCAATGCACACTTTAAATCGGCGTAGACTACGAACGGGACGCGCTCCTTCCTGTAATGTTTCTTAAACTCGAGCCACTTGTCGTCCTCGCTCGGTAGCCTTATTGCACAATCGTTGAGTTTTCCATAGTCGATGCTATGGAGCTCCAATTTAGCGCTTGAGCTAAAATAGTGGAGACATCTGAAAAAAAAAAAAATTTGTTTTTTATTATTTTATTATTTTATTATTATTACTATTGTTACTGTTATTATTATTATTATTAATTATTATTAATTACGCATACCTATCGCAAAAATATTTCCTGTTCTTCTTTTTACTTATTTGTGATCTAACGAGGCGTGTTAGGTTATTGATCAGCGCGAAATATCCCTCGATGTCATCCTGCACGTATAGGAGGTTCACGTGCTTGTTTCTCTTTCGGTCGGCGAGTCGTATCGGTATGATCCCATCCTCGATGGCGTAGACGTTGACGGAAATGTCGTTGAGATTTTCAAATTTTTTAATTTGACTCAACGTCATCGGGAACTCAATACCCGTGAGATTTAGTACCGATGAGTAGTGCGGATACGATGATGCTCGATATATATGACTTTCAGCGGGATGTAGAGCTGCAACCACCGACCATGCGAAACAAGCAGTGTCTTTGGATTGCACGTTGACCACCGCTCTCTTTAACATAATTTCTCGCGGGAGTTTGATGTGACATCCCGCGCGCAGAGGATTCAGTTTATTCGCGTTAACATTCAAGTTCAATATACGTGACAGTGCCCATCCGCTATCACGTTCTTGAAACTCTTCGAGCGATGCTAGGATTGGCTCGACGACGCGTGACACGTACCACTCGCGCTGATCGGTGCATCGATATATTTCATAGTTCCGGGTGGCGATACTCTTGTTCGCGCGTTTGTCACTCGCCACGAAATCACCGTTAAATACTGTATTTATCTTTATAGAGTCATATCTCCGCAAAATACACTGCACACGCTCGATCACAGTTTCACTCGCGTCTTCGAGGAATCGGCGGGGGTCGATGTGATTAGAGTTTATCACCGCGCCCGTTAGAATACGGCTTTCGAACGCCGTTTCTATCTCGCGCCATCGGAGTCCATATCCGGCGCCCACGTACACGAATCGTCCGCGCACTGAATCTTTCAAACTCTCGAGCCGTGCGATACGTGCGATCACTGATTGTCTATTACCGATCGATAATCGCGGGCGTTTGATCCGAATCTGTTCTTCCAGAGATTCTATAAATTCGTCGCATCGCTGTTCCAACGCGACGTACTCTTCTCTGGTACTAAGCAGGGTAGCTTGCTGTATCAAATCTCGCTCCATGTCGCTTGATTGACTAATGACACGATGCGTCTGAATCTTTGCGTTTTATATCTATCTATCTATTTGGCAACAATGCATCTCTTAACTGTTAAATGTATAATTTGGCACGTCGCAATTGTATCAAATTACATTACTGCTCTCATCACCAGACGTGTCTTTTTGCATAAAATCATAAACAGAACTTGCGAACGTTGCATTTTTAAATATCGAATTACACTAATGATTTCATCACCGTACGTGTCTAAAAATCTGTATTGTGCGAAATTCTTTCTTAGCAACTGCATATTTGCAAACGTTGCATTTTAAAAATATTGAATTACACTAATGATTTCAATTCTTCGCTTCCTTCCATCCATCCTTATTCGCATGGTATCGCGTTACATCGCGCTGCGACAGCGTCATCGCTAGAGCGGCACCGCGTGCGACGGCGGTATCGCGATAATTAAATATGTAAAACACGGGGCTATTTAAATTATTAAATTATTAATATACGAGGTCTGTCCCAAAAGTATCCGACCTACCTCCATTTTTCGGCGCTTGGCTTATTTTTCGTCATCCGGTTGGTGGCATCCTTCGAAGTAGTCCCCATTTGATTGAACAACACGCTCATATCGATGCTTCCACTTTCCAAAGCAGTCTTGAAAGTCAGTTATTGGAATCGCCTTTAGTGCATTCGTCGCATTGGTTTCAACAGTCTACTTGTCGTCGAATCGGTGTCCTTTAAGCGGCATTTTCAATCGAGGAAATAGCCAAAAGTCGCAGGGAGCTACGTCGGGACTGTACGGAGGCTGGCGAAGCTGTACAACACTGTGTTAAAGGACACCGCTTAAAGGACACCGATTCGACGACAAGAAGACTGTTGAAACCAATATGACGAATGCACTAAAGGCGATTCCAATAACTGACTTTCAAGACTGCTTTGGAAAGTGGAAGCATCGATATGAGCGTGTTGTTCAATCAAATGGGGACTACTTCGAAGGATGCCACCAACCGGATGACGAAAAATAAGCCAAGCGCCGAAAAATGGAGGTAGGTCGGATACTTTTGGGACAGACCTCGTATAT